GGTCCACTCTCGGGCATAGTGGATATCTGGAGAAGGATGCATCCTGACTGTCGGCAGTACACCTGGTCCCACCTTAGAGAGAGCAGGGTCTCCTCAGCCAGCTTAGATTGTATTTATTGTTTTAAACACCATTTTAATGTTTTTAAGAAGTGTGATATACCTGTTACCTGTTGGTTTTACAGATCATTGTTTACTTTTAAACAGCATTTTTATCAGGAATATTTTTAACAAATAGTGCCAACTGGCATTTTAATTCTGTTTTAACCTTTGATAAAATTTTTTAGAGAGGCTTTAATGTTTTTTTGGGAGGTTTTTAGATAGCGGAAGGGTGATTTTAGCAGCCTTAGGCAGTGGTGGGATCATGGCAAAACTCAGATTAAACTTCTGTGTCAGCAGCATACCCTAAATGTCTCAGGTGACATCACCAGATCTATGAAGGATCTAGAGACTGAAATAGTGGAACTGGAGCTTTTGAGTGAGTCCACAGGAAATCGAGGCTGCATTGAACGCCTCAAAGGCAAAAAAAATGGCTTTAGCCGACCTGCTGAACGTTAAAAGTGCAGGGCGCACTGGTCCGGTCCCAGTACCAAACCATCTCGGGGATGGATGCTCCCTCTAGCTTCTTCTTCAGTCTGGAGAAAAAGAACAGACAGGGGAAAGTAGTCCACACACTGCTCTCAGACACGGGGCAGGAGATCTCGGAACCTTGCCAGATGCGGAAAAGGGCAGTGAGCTTTTACGCATCCCTGTACGGGAGCGAATACGAGGAGGAGCAAGGTCTCCTCAAGGGGTTCCTGAGGGGACTACCTCAAGTCTCCACAGAGACGAACAGACAGCTGGAGGCCTGCCTCGAAATGCAGGAGCTGCAGGCGGCACTGCAGGCAATGCCAACGAGCAGGTCTCCAGGGATTGATGGGCTCACCGCCGAGTTCTATAAGACGTTCTGAGACATCCTGGGTGGGGATGTCCTAGACGTCTTCAATGAGTGTCTGGCCTCTGGTTCCATGCCAGTGTCCTGCAGGAGAGCAGTCCTCACACTGCTTCCCAAGAAGGGCAACCTGCAGGACATCAGAAACTGGCGCCCCGTGTCTTTGCTCTGTGTGGACTACAAATTCCTGTCCAAAGTATTGGCCTCCAGGCTGGGGAGAGCTATGGAGCAGATCATCCACCGGGACCAGACCTACTGTGCCCCCGGTGGAGGTCCATGGTGGACAATGTCCACCTGATTTGGGATTTTTTGGAAATCTCTAGTTCTTTGGATATAGATGCTGGTCTGATTTCAGTAGACCAGGAAAAGTCATTTGACCGTGTTGAACACGACTTCCTTCCATAGAAGGTTTTGGCTTCAGCGCTGGTTTCATAGCCAAGATCAAGGTGCTGTACCGGGACATTGAGAGTGTGCTGAAGTTCGACAGCAGTCTGTGTGCTCCTTTTAGAGTGTATAGGGGTGTCAGGCAGGGCTGTGCTCTGTCTGGGATGCTCTATACACTCTCTCTGGAACCTCTCCTCAATAAGATACGCTCTAGTCCACAGGGTCTGTTTTTACCGGGTTTTAGTGAAAGCATGACTTTATCCGCTTATGCGGACGATCTTATTGTTTTTATAAAGAACCAGGAAGAGGTAGACATTTTAAGTAGTATAATTAGGGATTTTAATGTGACATCGGCAGCAAGGGTCAACTGGAAGAAAAGTGAAGCCCTCGCTGTTGGCAAGTGGCATGGCGGTCTTCCAGTTCTTCCCCAAAATTTAACTTGGAAAAAAGATGGTTTTAAATATTTAGGAATATATGTTGGAAAAGAACATTTTGTTCAGAAGAACTGGGAGACCGTCATGGAAAAGATCGAGGGTAAGCTCTCCAGGTAGAGGTGGCTCCTCCCAAAGATGTCACTCAGAGGCAGGGTCCTTGTTTTAAATAACTTGGTAGCATCCCAACTGTGGCATCGGCTCACCAGTGCAGACCCTCCTCCAGGTCTCCTGGCTCAAATTCAAAAGAAAATGGTGGATTTTTTCTGGGATGGTCTGCACTGGGTGCCACAGGGGATGCTCTTTTTTAGAGAGAAGAGGGGGGTCAGGGCCTTGTCTACTTGTCCAGCCGGACTGCCACTTTTAGACTCCAGTTCCTGCAGAGGTATCGCACAGGCCTGGCAGATCTGATGTGGAGAGGCGTGGCCAGCTGCATCCTGAGGTGTGCCAATAAGTTGGGGTTGGATAATGTTCTGTTCTTAACCGATCCCAAATTCCTAAATCTTAAGGGGTTGCCTCCTTTATATCAAAGTATTTTTAAATGCTGGGCTTTGTTTAACCACAGAAGGTGCCTGAAAGCTGACTCTCTGCACTGGCTGTTGAAAGAATCCCTGATCCACGGAGCCAGACTGGACATCAGCGGAGCAACAACTCCTGGCCTGATGGGAAAGCTGACCCGGTCTGGGACCCTCACCGTGGGTCAGCTTGTGGATGCTGTGGGGCCGGAGCTGAACAACCAGCGGAGGTAGTCCCTCCAGCGTGTCCTGGGTCTTCCCCGAGGTCTCCTCCC